CACGAGCATCTATTCAATTGCACCTCTCATTGTACAATTTTCAAATTCTTCTCTTAGTAACAGTAATTTCCGTCAACTGCTTACATATTTGGCTATAAATTTTTCCATCATATAACTTAGAAAATAATGTTTTCTAGAAACTGTCTTTTTTGGTATTTTAGTATGTGTATATTTAGCACCAAGTCTGACTTTCTGAACAAAAGAAAGATAAAAGAGCTACACCCAAACATATATGTGGTCAACAAGGTTATACGGATGAATGCATTTACCACCAACCATTCCTGAGTCTCTTAACATCTCCTTACAGAGCTACTCCATTTTCTTATGAAAACAATTATGTATTGGGTCAGATTACAAAAGAAAAATTGAATCTACAGTGCAGTGACATTATACCAACTTGAGAGATGTGTTTTCCCATAAGAACACAGAACATTAACACTCTTATTCAGAACTAAATGTAGGTCATCCTAAGCCTGCTCTTTCTTGAAAAATGTTTTTCTTCCCCTAGTATATCTTCTTGACTTCAGACACTATGCAGTTTAGGGACTTTCTGAACCAGAGAATGCGTCCAGAAGATTGTGTTTAATTAGATATCTACTTTCAAATAGTCTGCTGTTAAGGTATTCACTTGGGAATGATACATCGAGACTTGAAGCTGAGACTCTTACATTCCACTTTCCCGCCTGAAGACAAACGTATAAACTGCTCTGTGTGAGTCTTTTTCTGTCCCTTTGTATACAAACAAAGGTATCAGTTTTATTTTAAGTGACAGATAGAAAAACCTTTGAAATTGGGAAAAGTTTTATGTAATGTAAAAAATACACCTAAGTGATCTTTGCATCTAACTGCTTTGTGAATACTAATCCATTTATTTTCCCCAAATTGTTGAGACAGATGAGTAACTGGAACTTCTACAATGGTTGCTAAAAAAAATTTACAATATTTGAACTAGTTTTCTGGTTTTAAAGAGAGGGAACAGACATATCCAGTGATTAGAGTGAAAGCACATGGGTTTTTGAGCACACCTAATTTTTCAAAGTATGTAGCACTGTATGTCATTTTACGTACTCAGAATACATGTCCCATTTACTTTATACTGAAAATGTCAGCTTGTCTACTAAATCTAACTGTTGAGTTTGAAATCAGGCACTTTGAAGTAAGTGACCACCTAACAATCACCTATAAAATGTCTGAAGTACCATGGGTAATATTTAAGAGAAGGAATTAGACTCTGGCAAAGACACAGATAGAGTGTAATTTGACTTGGCACCTTAAGGTGCTTCTGCTGTGAAACCACTGACTCAACATAAAGTCCACTTTCATTCACTGCTTATCTTCCAACCTTTTCTACAAAGAAATTGTAGTTTTAAAAACAATAGGTCACCATGCAAGCTTGATTTCATTCTAGAACAAATTTATCTTGTACAGCGAAGGTGGTAAAACTCCAGTAGAAAAAATCCTATGTGATCACACAGCAAGAGACTGTATCATAGTATCATGTATACAGGTAGCTGAATGCAAGCTGTTCAGAGAGCTTCTTTTTATATTTGTTAAACTTTTGAGTGTTTTGGTTTACAGTTTAGGAATTTTATTAACACATCTGTGAGTAAAGTTGGGGGCAGCATTTTGGTTTGTTTTCTAAAGAACCTGAAAATACTGAAGTGGCAAAGTATGAATCCATACAGATACTTAATTCACAAGAAAGGATCACTCAAGAGATATCACTATCGCTACTGTTTCCTCTTTATACCTGGCAAACCAGTGTAAGGTGTTTCCTCTTTCCTATCTGGTTCAGGCTCCACATCTCAGCTCCGTTACCTTAGACCAGCCAGTCATAGCCTCACATTCTGGACTCTCCTTCATTCTTGGTCTCTCACACCTATTCAGACTTCCAAGGCCCAGCTTGCATTTCCCCATACTCTTCAGCTTCTAGTTCTAGTTTCTGCTATACTTAAGTCCACTTTCCCAAGCAACCTCCCTTTCTTGCTAAAGCTGGCTCTTTTGCTTTCTTCATTCTGCCTTGGCTAAGAAAGCAAATCTCTGATAGCAAATAAAAATCTCAATTTGAGCATCAAAAATTACAGCCAGTCCAATGATAGTAATTTAGAACTAGAAGTTACAGTGTAAAAGGAGTCTGCAGGGAACTGGCTCCTAGATTTGACTAAGTACACATCACAGCGATTTTCTAAGACTGTTACACTTTTATCACAGGAGCAAACAAATTTATCTTTTATTTTGTTCTTGCAAAACATTGAACAGTTTAGGCTGATGCTTAAAGAAAACCAGTCTGAGGAAGGTGCCTAGCATTGAAATTTTTTTTATCTAAATGGTTAAGGTAAAGCAAAGAAAGCAGCCTAAACAACAAGTAGCAGTAACAGTTCATCATAACTGTCAAAATTCACCATGAAATTGTTACAGGATAAAACATAAACACATATAAACACATAAAAAGAAGGAAAAGGAAAATCTAAATTCTCTAACAACACATACATTCTCTTTCTCCAACTACAGGCCGCTAAATCACTGTGACTGAAGTTATTATATATCAAATGCACTAACCATCACTTTGTCCATTCCACCCTCCTCATAACGTATCAGTTCAATGTGCAAACATGTGGAGGAGAAACAACGTAAAAGACTAATTAAAAGGGAATGCAATCTTAAAAACGCTTATAGTTGCACACATCATATTTCTACCCTGCTATTTTAGTATTTCAAAATCTGGGTGCAGAACTATGATAAATATAGGCTTAATTTTACATGGCTCTTTTGAGTTTCCTTTGAAAATGTTACCCATAAGCTGGTTTTAAGCTCTTGTCAATCACTTACATGCTCATCTTTCGGGACTGACTCTCCTTATTTCCACCGTTCTTTTGGTCAGCTGAGTTAAATAAGTTGCGAGAAGAACTGGAAGGGAAGGCCGCATTCCCACTATTACCAGAAGAATGAGTCCTGAAGGAATCATCTGAAACAAAGAGTTGCAGTTTAAACAAAGATTTTTTTCTGGAAAAAATACACAGAGAGAAAACAGAATGAGCTGGTTTTCGTGTGGCAATAGTGGCCTATTTCCTATGGCAACAATCCAAAATTTAACTTTCTGTAAGGGAATGGTTTCAACTTAACATTTCTTCAAGTATTCTTATGAAAAAATGCTAAATAAAAATCATTAGAAGACACATTTTGGAAGACAAGATTAATACATTTAATATAGGAAAATAATGGGATTTAAGTGGCCAATCTTCAGCTGCTTAAAATTTAGCTATTTCATTTAAGCTAATTATCTAGTGTCTATTGGTAGTGAATGGAAAAAGGCAGGTTCCTCTAGGAAGCAATTAATCTCATTCTAATCTTTAATCATCAAACCCTTCAACAGCAAATCGAGAGGCATTTCCAGACAGCAGTTTCTCTCCCCTAATTCAGTAGAAGTTACACATAATATTCCTTTCCTCACATAAAATGGGTGGAGGCAAATCACAAATGCCAAACTCATTTTAATTTTACTACTTCTGAATGTAACTTTAAACTAACATGTAAAAAAAAAAGTCTGAAAAATAGACTAACTAGACTATCACTTAAGTGCCTAAAAGTATTGGATATCTATTAATCTACGTTCTTTAGGAAAATGATATCTTACAGTATGCCTGTTTAATGGGGCCCACATATTAGCACCCATACAAAAAACTTATGTAAAATATAATATAATGACTACTTACCACTAAAGGATAACATACAACTCTTTCCCATTCCTGATACTGAAGATGTATATCCTGTAGCAGAGCTCTTACTTAAAAAACAAACAAAACAAAACACAACAAAATTGCTTATTACAGAAAAGTGTTCTTCTCAATTTTATCATCCTGCTGTTTAATAATATTGGAGGTTATTTCTGAGTAAAAGAGAAAAAGTTATGCTGAAATGTCTTTAAGAAATGCACAGATCTAGATTTAGCAGTTCATATTGAAAAATATTTTAATGTATGATAAAAGACGATATATATTAACTTAAAAGGAATTCATAACAATTTGTAGGCCTCAGCATGCCTTAAAACGGTATTTCTTTCTTCAAAACTGCATACCTTAAACAATTAAACAAAAAGCTTAAACTTTAGGTCACAATTCAGTGAGCGCATATCTGCTTTAATACATTCATGTGCATACAATTTCATAACAATTGTCTATTAGGTAAACAGTTGCCTATGAAGTAAGCAATGAAGATAATAAAGATACTTAGGACACTTGTCTATGTTGCTGTATTTTGGATGTAGTGCTTGAGTACTGAAAGACTGGCTTCGAACCAACTTGGATTTTTTGTCTTCTTTGCCTAAAATTGTAAGTAGTAAAAATTTAACATGGATATCATTGCATTTCCTCAGTAATTAAGAACATAATTTAGTATAATTTTCTGTCAACATATGCTAGCTGAAGGAACTGATTTAAATACTTCAATAACGATAAATAGACCTTATGTCATCTATTTATATATTAAAGAATAAAATAAAACTGCAAACCATAGAAAATACATTCAGTTCTAGGAGTAGAAACTTTTCCTATGTGCAGCAGGTGAAACTCTGGCCCACAGATGCCAACAGCAGCTTTGATGGGTTTTAACCTGCTGATGTGAAATCAATGCATTCTAGAAGAGTTTTTAAAGAGTTCTTACCTGCTGATGTAGCAGAAGAGCTTCCGGGAACAGAGAGTGTGATACTTTTTGCCAACACTGATGATGTTTTACTGTCTCTACCTGAAAAAAAAGTCCAGTATAAATGCTTCTCTCTTAAAGCTTAACTGTAAATAAAGAAAGAGGAGATAACATATCACAGTCCTGGGGTAAACAGTAATAATACCTAAGCCAATGCTATTAACACGTCAGAAATACCACAGACAAGTACTTACATTATATCCCAAAATGAAAAATACCAGAGAACGAAAACTGTCATATATTTTATTAATAATATGAGGCCAGTTTTCATAAGTATCTTTAGAAACATACAGAAAAAAAAGTTTTATTGCCACTTTCTAAAATTCTGATATTTACTGTATAAATTGTCTCTTTTCTCCTCTTTTTTCTCCTACCTTTGTAGAAGAGTAATGCATGCACAAACAATATGTACACAAATAAAAAAAACTTACGCTTCTTTTCAAATATTTTATCATTAATACTTGTAGATCTTCCATCATTTTGCTGCTTCCCTTTTTCTAATTGTTCCTAAAAAAATGAGTAATTTTCTAAGGTATTATTCAGGAAAAAAATAAATTAAATTATGTTTCAACTTGGCATTGCTTTCAAATCAACAAAATAACAGTTAATTTCTACTCTCTCCCACTCTACCAGCCCTAGTGAATATCCAGAGAGCAAATTAAATAGTACAGAATGAAATCAGGGTATATATCCTCTATAAAAATCACACAAAAAAATGTTGACTGTGATTATGAAGGAAGCTCAAGAGTTGAAGTTTGCATTTATAGCTTACTATTATTAAAATTTTTCCTGTTTTGGTTTGTTGGTTTTTCTTTTAATTAAAGAGATACAGAAATTGACAGCTGACAATGTAAAATTTTTGTGCTATACAGATACTCTGATAATAGAACTAGCAATATTTTTAATTCAAACACATAAATCAATGAAAGTAGGTTTCTCAAATGGTAAAGTGTGTCACGTATGTTCAAACATTTTAAAGGTCTAAAATTAACACCTACAGTTGATAAGCCTTTATGCATAACAAAGCCAAGTATTATAATTCTTCAAGATTAAGGAATTCATTTGCATTTCTGTAATATTAGCTAGCCTTAGAATTCCTTTTGAAAGCACACCAATAGACAGAAGACAGTGTTAACACAGCTACATCAATAATTTCGAAAGCCAATACTTGCTTCAGGATTCTCAGTGAATCAATATCACTCCAACTTCAAAAAACTATATATTAGCTTATTTTCTGTACTATGTTCATAACAAAAAGTGCGAAGTGAATTGTAATTGTTCTACTCTATTTTTTCGTTTCACTCTAATTACTACCCAATTTTACAAAAAAAAAAGTAATTAATTCAGGTCAAGGTTGCTGGAATATAGTTTCTACGAAGCCAATTACTAAAATTAAGGAAACTTATTAACATATTCAGCATTAAAATCTGTAGCAGTCAGATATATTTAACTGGGTTCAATGGCTCCTCATCTATTTGGGACTGCAACATGTCACAATTTACTGTGTACATCTCCAGTTCCTCAAAAGCACACATCTCACAGATAATGCTTAACCAGACCTTTGTGATACAGAAGCTATGTCCATATCAATAGGATATATCATAAAAATAGAGCTGCTCTTCTGAAGTCTAGCTTTAGAAACAGGGTAAAAATAAATGTTATCATACAATACACGATAACAGAGAGTGCACTGCAGGCTATTTTACCACAGCCCCAAATGCTTTCACTATAAAAACATAAATTGTATCTACCTAAAAGCTGTTAAAGCTAAGTTCCAGTCTTTGAATATGTATATGTAGGTCCTGAGAACAAACCTTGAACCTTTGGTTTGAGCTAATGGGAGGTGGCAGGAAGAACATGAGACAGGTGTCATGAACTGAGAAAATCAGCTGCCCAAGAGAAGGCCTGCACTACCTATTGACATCAGTGGGCCACGAACGTAGGCTCTGTAGCAATCACAAAGGGGAAAAAGTGACATTTTTCAGACAGTGTTGCATCGGTTCACTACAGGGGAGCTCAATTACTGCAAGTCAGAGAACTATGCTAATGAAATTCAGCCTCTTCTAAATCCTATTGGCTTCTTAGCTTCCTCCACCTCTGGCTGGAAAGGAAGCAGCAAAACAGAGCACTGCAGGAATCTAAACTAGGCTTTGTGCCGAGGTAGTAGTCCATGTGGCAAAGCACCTGCTGCAGTTTTTGCTTACAGCCATGACTGAAGATAAGTAGTTTCATAAGTTGGGAAAGCATTCTGCAAACTTCTCTTCCAAATCCTATGTAAATTGTAGCTCCTTTTGCTCTATACAGCCTGCACTAAGTCACCCTCCGGCCAGGCTGCAACGGCCTTTCTTTCTTTTTTTCTGGCTAACCAGAAACTTGTAACATGCAGAGCCTCCTTCAGCTTCCTTAGCCCAAAAGTTATGACATCAATTTCTTTGCCTATGGAAGCTGTTTGTGAATTCTGTGGTGTTTCATTATTCAATTTATTATGTTATACAAGCCTAACAAACTGCTAAGCTCCCTCAAAAAGACTTCATAAAGGTGCGCTGAAGAGTTTGGATTTTATAACTACAGAGGCATCAAGCATGAGTGTTCTTTCAAGAAATTCCAGTTTGCCTTTCTCATTGATACAACAAATTTAGGTAGTAAAGAAAAGGAAGTTACATGTTACTTTGAAGGACTTAACCCTATTGTAAAGTGTAAAATGAAACAACACACAGATTATGAACCTACTAGGTCTCTCTATAATATGCCTCATTAATATTTAGCTACAAACTATTAAAAAAAGGACAGATTGTACTGATAAAATATACCATTTCCAAAAGGAGCTGTTCTTGTCTCTCTTTTTCTTGATCCAATAAATCATTTTCGTAAAATCTTTTCTGAAACTTCAAAATAAAATCAATAAAAATAAAAAATCACTACATGAAAATGGGAATTAAACGTACTTGGTAAGTATTAAAGTTAGTAAGTACTCACAGCATCTACAGAGATCTCCATTCTGTCCAATTCTAACACTGTCTATGAAGAAAATCAAAATATCATTTACCGTTACTGAACAGCATGCAAGACTTTTAACAAAAAAACTGTCCAGATAAGAAGCTCAGAATAGTGGTATTCAAAATTAAACATGCCTTTTCTTCCCAAATATTTGAAGCCTATGCTTGTATTTTTGTGCTACAGATGCAGTTAAAAACTGTCAGAGAGTATTCTCGGAACCCTGCTGAGACTCACAATGAAGGACAATAGACTGTCTAATTGGAATTCAAAATACGCTTAAGGAAAGCACAGAAGCATGAACAACTGGAGCATGGACCCAGGAACCAAGACTGAAAAAACAACTCAGTGACCTGTGAATAAGCCAGGATGCTCCAACACAGGTGTTCACCCAATCTCTCCTGCAGACTGGCCCTATAAGGAAGTCATCTACTTTAGCTACTTCACTTCATGGCTTGAGACTTAAGTATGTACTTTTTCGTGAATATTCACATTACAAAGACATTTGTAACATTTCAAAATCCTGCAAAACCTTTATCTGTGTATTGTAAAACACACAGATGAATAAGATAGCTGTGCACCAAAGACTTGATCATTTTTACTAGGGTCAACATTTAATCCTAACTTTAGTCATCTGCTATTTTTTTCACAAATGGTCATTGAGCCAAAATCCTGAATCCCAGTCACTAGAAAATAACTATAATGTAAGTAACCAAGGAAACACCAACTCTCTTAAATTTAACAGAATGCACTATACTACGCCTTTTCTTAATTGTTCGAAATTACGTAATAGGCAATAGAATTCTTTAGTCTCCTGTTCTTAGAATCAAGAAAAAGCATAACTTTGATCATCTTAACTTTTAATGATACCCCACGACAAAATGCTGCTGGAAAAGAAAAACGCTTACTCTTTTTACAATAGTCAGGACATCTTTATCTTTCTCTTGACACAAAAGTTTCCGTATACATAATTCCAACTGCTGAAGTAAATGTTTATCAGTGGGAATCTTCAGAGTAGATTTAACTTTTGGCAACAAATAGCAAAGCTTCATTCTATGAAAAAAGAAGTAAATATTCACATTTTGATGTAGATGTTTAATAAACATTACTAATTTTTGTATTGCATGCTAGCATTTGGCATAAAATAATTAACTTAGTAGGTCTTGTTTTTCAGAAATGATTGTTCCTTATGTGTTGTTTCCAGACATACTGTAACATTTTCAAAAAATGTCTCCATAGATTGGGATTACAGTCCTGTATCTAAAAGTCAATAAAGATTTCTTCGGTTTGGGTTTTTTTTTTTAAACTAGAAAGGTAAGCAGACCTCTAGTTTTTCAAAGTGATCAACACACTTAACTCTATCAGGTACCTAAATACACCGGAAATCTAGTCCACCAGTACAAAAGAGCTTAAGCTTCACTAAAAATCCTGTGACTCCAGTTCTGCACAACTGAGAGAATGAAGGTGTATCAGACAGACTAAAAGGATTTAACTATTTACTGCCTCCTAAAGAAGAAAGCCCTTCTTCCCCCTACCCTATCTCCCCACTTCTGTCTGGAGGCTCCTCCTGCTTGTGCTATCTCTGCTACCGGCTGGAACTTTCATCAGCTCAGTCAGCACAACCCTCCACTGACTAATAGAGCAGAAAATGAACTTACTTGAGAGGGGGAGGGCAGAAAAAATTGGACAGTTTTCTGATGGCTTAGTGAGTTTAATCAGTCTAACCAAATGTCCAACAAGCACTCCTCAAGCAAAGGAAGCAGTGGACAGTGTAGTAAGGAATCAGGATGAAAGGAAAATAGTAACAGATTATGATGCTTTCAGAAGCTGTGAGCGGCTCTATTGATTGAGGATGCAATTTTAAACGGAGTAAATACAGCGTGAAAAATTATTCATATAAAATAACCAACAACAGAAACTTCAAACAATACCTTTCTGGTCAGACACTATGTGGATACATTTTTATTTGTTACTAGAGTGACCCTGTGAAGCTCATAGGACAAGAGGAAACGGCCTCAAGTTGCACCAGGGGAGGTTCAGATTGGACATTAAGAAAAATTTCTTCACCAAAAAGGTTGTCAAGCACTGGAACAGGCTGCTTAGGGAAGTGGTTGAGTGACCATCCTGGAAGTATTTAAAAGACGTGTAGATGTGGTGCTTAGGGACATGGCTTAGTGGTGGACTTGGCAGTGCTAGGTTAACGGTTGGACTTGATGATCTTAAGCGTCTTTTCCAACCTAAATGATTCTATGATTCTTTAATAATCGATTTGCCTTGATTCCTAGATATTGTTTCTAAACTGATTATATAAAAAATGTCTTCATCACTTTTTATATCATTAACACCAAAATACTCTGCAGATTAAACAAAAAGTGTTTCACACATTTAAGAAAATAAAAATTACTGCTTTTGATCAGACTGTAATAGCATATAACAGTGAATAATTGTAATCGATAGGAATAGATGGAAAACCCCCCAAGAACAATACATAGTGATATTCTCTGCTGTTCTCAGATTCCACTGCCTTCTGATCAGAGACAATCCTCTGCCAGAGATGATACCTTTGTGATTAATAATATTCAAAAAAATTTCTTATACGAATTCACCTTGCTGGTTTTATACCTTCAAAATATTTTAATCTTCACTACTTCCCATTACAAAGAGTTACATCACTCTGTAGAAGGCTAGAATAATATCTCCCTAAGTTTGTTTTAAAATCATGAGCTAACAACTACGTCTGACTTCTAAGCTTCAGTCCACTACAGACAGTGCATTCCTTTTGTAATGAGTGTTAGGGAACAATCCAGAAAAGAATTATGACAAAACTAAGATCAATGTCAGTTAAGGGATTGCAAGTTATTTCAAGTCTCCATTAAATTTTAATATTGTATCAACAGAGCTTTTAATTAAAATGTTTTTTAAAAGCAATAAGCTACTACAGATTATACACAAATTTAATTTACTGTTTTAATATAATCCTCTTAACTTAAGGACATGAAACATGGATGTTAACCTATATGCAC